TATATTTAAAAAAAATGTAGATTAAATAAATTCAAATAAATAATGTGTAGGCCTACTTAAAAAGTACATTTAAACTCTCCATAGTAACTCAGGTTGTCAGGAGACGGTTCGAAAATTAAGTAATTCGAACCAAAACAAACTCAAAGTAATTTGAAACAAATCTCAGTGAGAGACAGCAGCAAATATTCACAGTGGTTTCAAAGTTTGATATTTTCAAGGATTTCTTCGACAAAGATCTTCAACAACGACTTTTTGTTCTCCAAACATCGGCTGAACATCATCACGAAGCACAAGAGTGTCAACATGGACGACGTAAGATTGATTATTTGAATAAAACTAACCTGTTTTACTGTCGACACGATCGGAACTTTGAGATTAAACGAGGAATGATTGATAAAAAATGTATTAAATGACATTTAAAAGATAGGGCCTAAACTCACATTAGCCTACACATGATAGACATTTGACAGAAACTGAAAATAGTAACAAAGTGTTTAGTTAAAGGCCTACACTTCAGACCAGGTCGAGTTAAAAAAGGGCCCCAAAAGAAGAACTAATGAAAGTAGGGTAACTTTGCCCCAGATGTTGGCATAATGTGCATTTGTCTCAATTTCCATCGTTTATCATTTTCTCATCGTTAGGGTCTTAATTCATAAACGTTATTTCTATTATTTTTGTTTAGGAGAGGCCTATAGCTATTTTTTCATTTACGTGTTGCAGATACACTTTTAAAATAGGCCTAAAGGTTGTTATATAACAATATACAGTATATAAGTAAACAGCATTTTAAATCTCCATAGTTACCTGCTGCAGGTTGCCAGGTGATAGACCAGATACGAAAATGAGTTTATTCGAACAAAAACAAACTCAGAGACAGCAGAAAATATCCAAAGTGGTTTAAAAGTGTCATATTTTCGAGGATTTCTTCACAAAAGATCTTCATCGAAAACGTTTCTCCTCCTATGAACAAGTGTTTGAGCATGCAGGACGTAAGATTGATGATTTCATTAAAACTAGGCCTCTTTATTTTTACTGTCGACACGATCACGCGTTTATATTCAAGTTCAATATGTAAAAGATGACATGGAGTCAGAGGTTTTTAAGACGATTTTTTAATTTACAATTTACAAATAAATATGAAAACATGTATCCTAATAAATTAAATATTCTCCTTTTAAAACATAATAATGTTATCAGCTGCTTCTGTCGTGATCTAAATGATTATCTGTCAGACCTTTAACTGTTTCAAAACTCAAATAGCTTATTTTATTTATATTGTGTTGAGAAAGAAACAGTGAAGTAGTTTGGTTCAGGAACTTTAAGTTTTATCCTGAATTAATCTATGTGAGTGTAAACTTTAACAACACATTAAACCAACAATATGAAGGTAAAAAATGACTTTCTACAGTAAATACTCATCAAAATGTATCTGTGTATTTGAGACTTTTGATCATTTAATGAATAATTATTGATTGTTGGTGATAACTTTGTAGTGTGAGGATGTGAGGACTTTATTTTTTTAGAAAACATATTCTTCAATTTATCAGAGGTTTACATTTTGGGATTTTTTTCTGTCTTTTAGACCAACCAGCGATTCAGGATGGCCTACACCCTTGTCCAGGACCCGGACTGGTCCAGCCCGAGGGTGATCCTCAGGAGGATCCCGTCTTCAGCCGGCTCTTCAGGAGGTTCATCACCGAGGTCCCTGCCTGTAACTCCTCCTAGCTCTCCTTCCTCTCCTGCAGAGGTAATTATTAACTTATTTCCTTATAACTGGTTGGTTTGTATTTAATCTCAAGAATGATTGAAATCTTTTTTTAAACCCTAAAGTAAATCACTGCTCCTTAACAACTTGAAGTTTCAGTAAAAGTCTTGTTTGTAGTTATCTGATTGTTTAGTTTGTTTAACATTAAATACTGACCTTTATTTAGAGGCTATTTAAAATTCTATATGGAAAAGATTTGGACTTAAATATGAAACATATTCAAAAGTTACATAATGAACTTTCTTTAAACCCTTGATCATTTTAAAAGCTGATTCTGTCATGATCTTTTTACAAACTATTATCAGGCCTTTTACTGGTTAGAAACCTATTTTTTTTATTAATAGTGTGTTGTGAAAGAAACAGTGAAAGAAGTTTGGTTCAGATAATTAATTTTTTATCCAAAATCAATCTTTGTGAATGTGCACTTTGACCTTTTGATAGGTGAAGCACATCACACCAACAATAAACAGATACTGTAGTTGACAGCCTGCCTATAAAATAATACAAATATGAATTACAGCAAATACTTGTTGAAATGTGTTTGTTTTAATGACTTAAATGAATAGTTATTGAATGTTCTTTATAACTTCAGTTTAAGGATGTGAAGACTTTGAATGTGAAGTTGAAATGTTGGTTTGTTTCTGTCTTTAGTGCGCCCACTGGACCTTCCACGACCCGGATCCGACCAGTCTGAGGCTCATCTTGCGGAGGGTCCCTGCAGCAGCCAGCTCTCCAGAACCGTCTCCACCCAGGTCCCCTTCTGTTTCTCCTCCTGCCTGTCCCTCCAACTCCTTGCTCCTTGACCTTCAAGTGAGCTCCTCCTCTTCTTCCTCCTCCCCTCTTCCCCTCCCTCCTCTCCCTCCTTTTCCTCCCCCCTCCTCTACCTCCTCCTCTCCCTCCTACCCTCCCTCCCCTCCACCCCCCTCATTCTCTCCCTCCTACCCTCCCTCCCCTCCAACCCCCTCCTTCTCTCCCTCCTCCTCCTCCTCTCCTTCTTCTCGCCCTCCTTCTCTCCCTCCCCTCCACCCCCTCCTTCTCTCCCTCCTTCTTCCCTCCTCCTCTCCTTCCTTCTTTCTGTCTTTAGTGCGCCCACTGGACCTTCCACGACCCGGATCCGACCAGTCTGAGGCTCATCTTGCGGAGGGTCCCTGCAGCAGCCAGCTCTCCAGAACCGTCTCCACCCAGGTCCCCTTCTGTTTCTCCTCCTGCCTGTCCCTCCAACTCCTTGCTCCTTGACCTTCAAGTGAGCTCCTCCTCTTCCTCCTCCTCCCCTCTTCCCCTCCCTCCTCTCCCTCCTTTTCCTCCCTCCTCTACCTCCTCCTCTCCCTCCTACCCTCCCTCCCCTCCACCCCCTCATTCTCTCCCTCCTACCCTCCCTCCCTCCAACCCCTCCTTCTCTCCCTCCTCCTCCTCCTCTCCTTCCTTCTCTCCCTCCTTCTCTCCCTCCCCTCCACCCCCCTCCTTCTCTCCCTCCTTCTCTCCCTCCTCCTCTCCTTCCTTCTCTCCCTCCTTCTCTTCCTGCTCCCCTACCTCCCCTCCTCCCCCTCCTTCTCTCCCTCCTTCTCTTCCTGCTCCCCTACCTCCCCTCCACCCCCTCCTTCTCTCCCTCCTCCTCTCCTTCCTTCTCTCCCTCCTTCTCTCCCTCCTTCTCTTCCTGCTCTCCTACCTCCCCTCCTCCCCCCTCCTTCTCTCCCTCCTCCACTCCCTCCTCTGTTAGGCATCATCAGAAGAGACCGGCTGCACGGGCGGAAGGAGAGCCTCCACGGAAGCGTCCTCACTAGAGATAAGCTCCCGTGTTGAGTATAGCATGATAAAATAGAATAAGATAAGTTAAGCTTAGATAAGTTTAGATAAGTTAAGTTAAGTTCAGATAAGATATTCTTGCAGACTAAGGTTGTGATGTGTGATGTTGTTTTCTCTTTTTGGCTCTTTGGGCAGCTCATTGATAAGTGAAGGGCACTTACTGTTTGGTTTGATGACTTGGCATTTGATAACATCTCGCTCCTCTTTAGCTCAAACCTCTCCTCCAAATATGGTCACAGAAGAAATAGTTGAATTTCAAAAATATATTTCAGCATTATAATAAGCATCTCCAGCATTTACGTCGTGGTTCTCATATAGCGCTCCTCCTCAGCTCATCCCTCTCCTCAAAACATGTTCACCTGTGGCTCCAGGTAACAAAAGGCTTAAAAAGGCAACAAACCAATGGTTATATCACAGTGTTTACATCCATTTGTACAGTCTATGGTTGTGATGTGCTGTGATGGGTTTTGATGTGATGTTCTTACTCTTATATAATGTGAAGAAAACTAGCTGTTTTTTGGTCTAACATCTTAGACCATCTTAGGCATTTGCTAACTTCTTGCTCCTCACCAGCTCCTCCTCTCCTCCAAAAATCACAGAAATGTGAAAATTAAAAACACAGGATTTCATTGTATTATTTCAAAACTGTGCTCACGGTATCAGTGTCTTTACTCACTGTACCTGGTATATTGTGTTGGTCTGTGTTTTTACACTGTTACATTGTTCGGTCGTACAACTTGGCCTTTGCCAGCGCGTCGCTCCTCTTCAGCCTCCACCGTCGTATTCAAACATGGTCACCTCCGTCTCCAGGTAACAAAAGGCTTTAACATGGCAACAAAATAATGAGTTCTATGACAGTGGGATCATCTATTAATTTAACAAGTCTATGGTTGTGATGTAAAGTTCTGTTATCACTTTCTATGACCACTATTCTGAAAACTAGCTCTTTAGGCAGCTCATGAATTAGCCACATGCTAAATAAGCATTTGCTAACCTCTGCTCCTCTCCAGCTCCTCCTCCAGCATTATATTGAACATCTCCTGCACATAGTGGTTCTCGTATAGCGCTCCTCCTCAGCTCCACCCTCTCCTCAAAACATGGTCACCTGTGGCTCCAGGTATCAAACGCTTTAAAAAGGCAACAGACCAGTGTTTATATCACAGTGTTTACGTCCATTTTACAGTCTATGGTTGTGATGTGTTTGTGATGTTATCACTTCCTATGACTAAATGTAGAATCTCGTTCTGGAAACTAGCTGTTTTAGCAGCTAATGAATTGAAAAAAAGAAGTCCGGACTTTTGGTTTGATAACTTGGCATTTGCTAACTTCTTGCTCCTCTCCAGCTCCTCCTCATGTCCAAATATGGTCACAGAAGAAATATTTGAATGAAAAAAAAAAAGTGTAATTTCAGCATTAAAATGAACATTTCCTGCATGTAGCGCTCCTCCTCAGCTCCACCCTCTCCTCAAGTCACCTGTGGCTCCAGGTAACAAACGCTTCCAAAAGGCAAAAAAACCGAGGATTATATCAAGGTGATCACATTACGATTTTACAGTCTATGGTATAACTAAATGTAGAAACTCATTCTGGAAACTAGCTGTTGTAGTTGCTAATGAATTGATAAGAAGTAAGGACTTTTGGTCTGACGTTTGCTAACTTCTTGCTCCGCTCCAGCTTCTCCTCCTGTCCAAATATGGTCACATCAGAAATAACTTGAAATTAAAAAAAAAACAACCTGAATATGAAGTATGATAGTAGTATAAGCTAACTGTACCTGGCTTGTTCCATTGTTTGAATTGCAATCGCTCTGGCATGGTTGTCAGGATCGTGTGATGGGAAGAGCAGTTACTTTTAGTTCCTGGTACCTGCCATTCTCCTGCTGCTCTAACCTTTGAAATGAATGCGGGTAAGCGGCAAGTCTGCTATGTTTTATGCATCTTAGATAACTTCAGTCGCATGCTACATTAATGTCGTAAACATTGTGCTTACTAGCTATTTGTCCAGACTGTTTGGTTATCTGGTGTTTGCTTGTATTGGCATTTGGTTATAATGCACCTGTGTCTCCAGGTAACAACGGGCTTTAAAACGGCATCAAACCAACGAGTTATATCACAGTGACAGCATTTATTCATGTTACTGCTGTGAACTTCTCGTTGCTCTCACTGTAGGCACGTATCAGTGTATTTACTCACTGAACATGAATCTTGTTTAGTGTTTGTCATTTATTGTTGCAGCTCTTGTTTGAGATTCAGGTTTGTTGTCGACTTATTCTGGCAAAAAGCTCCCTCACCAGCTCATGAACTAACAACGGGCTCAGACTGTCTGCTAACTTTTAAAAAAAGTTTATGTTGGTAACCTCTTGCTCCTCTTGAACTCCTCTCATCCAAATACGGTAAACTCTGGCTCTTAAAACTTTAAAAATAGAAAACTGGAAACTTGAAAACATAGTACAGGGATATTAATGTGATGTGATGTTGTGATTTTTTCTGATTTTATGTTTTTTTCGTATGATGTTGTGTTTATGTGTAAATATGTAATGTTGTGTTATATCATGCCATGTGTTGTTTTGTATTTTGTTGTGTTGTTATGTGATAATGTGATGTGATTTTGTGATTTTTCTCATTTATTTGTTGTGTTATATGATGTTGTGTTATGTGCCATGTGTAAATGTGATGTGTGGTGTTATTCATGTCATGTGTTGTCTTGTATGTGTTTTGTTGTTGTGTTTTGTTGTGCAGTGTTTCGTTTTGTTTCGTTGTGTTGTGTCTTTGTGTGTTACGTTCTGTCGTGATATGTTGTCTCGTCATGTGATCTGATGTGATGCGATGATTAACGATGTCACATAATATCAGGTCATGTGATGTGAGCTACATTTTGTTTCATCAAAATGAACTTTTTGGTTCATTGAATGTCCCAGCGTCTCTTTGATTCATTCCCTCAGCGGACAGGTGGGATCTAAAAAAGGTGAGTTTGATTCCTACACAATGTTTGTTTTCAGCATGGGATCCTTTTTGATTCTTTTTTTTGTTGTTGTTTTTTTCTTTAGGAACAGGAGCTGAAATCAAAAGAAGAGACCTGAACATAACAACAGAGGAGACAGGAAGCAGCACAGAGGACACAGACAGGATGAGGTTGAATGAACAGACCGACAACGAGAGAGAAGAAGAAAAGACGAGAGACAAGTGTCAATGGTAACTTAATGAAAACAGCTCTACACTGAATATATTCATAAGAAAACATGGCTCGCTTTGAGAAACATTTTTCTGACATTAAATGAACTTTATTTTATTGGTGACGTATGTCCACTAAACCATTTTATTGTGTTATTGTTTGTTTGTTTCAGCTGAGACCTCAAAGCAAACGACTCCATTTAAAGAGGAGACGGACGAGTTTGGAGACAAGAGGTCGGCACAACATTTAGAATCAGCTGCAAAAACAAAGTTTGCAAATCAAATCTGAATAAATATAGATCCATGAATAATCTCTTCTGTCAACTGTTGGTATTTTCTCTTTATTTTGATGTAGGGGTCATTTATATATCCTTAATAATATCACCTTATTAAGGTTTTCTCAAAAATGTTTAATATCCTTACTCTGAATTATTTAATTTTAAGTTTATGTTTTGCTGCTCTTATCATACCCAATATGATGCAATCATGAAATCAATCTTACTCAACAGAGGAGTTGATCAAATTTCTAATTTCAAGTACATATTTGACAAAATATCTTTAGAAAGTCATTTATATTTTCTTTTGGAGAAAGATCCACAGTGGAGAGTAATTGTGTCTGTATTGTGTCAAACAATATTCAAAACATGGAAGAAAAAAGAAACTCTTTCCATTGTTACACGAACAAAAATAGGAGTTGAAGACAAGGTCTACCAAAATATCACCAAATTTATTTACAATGATCAAATTATTGTGGATGAGGACGACACCGGGCCAAGGTGCAGCTCATCCCCTGATTACGATCCTGCCTTGACCTGAACCTGTAACAGAAAACAAACAAGCAGCACGGTGTGGAGGGCTCGTCACACCAGAGTAGTCATTTATTTTGTCTTTCAGCACTGGTCCTTCAATACAACATTTTTAATAATGACAATTCATTTGAACTATTGTAAAAATGTCCTCCACATAATGAGAACTCCCTGCACTTTAATTACCAGGGTGTTATACAAATGATCTTTGACTTAATGAAAGTTGACATTTCTCCAGGATAATGTTTCATAAACCATTTCAAACCAAACTGAGACTTGAGAACTTTTCATATAGCATATAACACACAATTAAAGACACAGGTCGTTTATAACATCCTTAAATCCAACTTTGGATCCAATGCAATGAAACAAAGTGTTGAGAATATCCTCTGCAACAACAAAAAAAACCTGCGCCTCCAAATCAAAACAAACAAGGATGGAAAAAATAAATAAACGAGGATGTTGCACCTTAGGTTGCGACATTTTTTTTACATGCTATATTAAGTTTTGTATTATTTACTTATTTTTATATGAGTTGGAGTGTCAGTTGGAGCGAGCTAATGAAGCCACTTCCACACTGAATGAATCAGACGAAGTAGGAACAAATATCTGCCTACTGTGCTCACCTACTGAACAGTAGTTACTAACAGTATACAGCATTGATAGACGGGCCTGTCTACTGTCACATTGTGTAGGCACTTTCCAATTCAGAAGCACCCAGAGACTAAATAGACATGGAGTAATCAAACACAGGTGAGACTAACAAGACACAGGTGAAGACAATGAGGACAATCAGGACTGGAGGGAAACACACAGAGGCGGGAGAAAATACAAGACAAGAACTACAAAATATATCCAGAAACACTAATGACACACAGAACTCAATAAAGTAACAATAATACGCTTTAGAACATAGCGAACACAAGGATATTAAATTACAAAATAAAAACAGGAAAAAACTAAACTAAACTAGGAAACACACAAGGGAAACAAACACCAGGGAAGAATGAGAAAATCTGAAAATATACAAAATACAAAACCAAATCATGACAGAAACAGGGCCTGCAGGGTCTAACACATTGGTTTTCTGCCATTAAAATGTTGAAAACCAAGCCCATAATCTTTTAAAGTGTCCATTTAAATCAGTGAATTGGAATCTTTTCAGTAACTCTCCACTTTATAATTTTAAATGGACAGCAGATAAACATTAGTTTAGACCAAATGAATGAATGAAACCTTCACCAGGAAGAATTTACCTTGAACCAAGCTCATAAAAAAATAAAAGACAAAAGACATCAGAAAACATTTAGGACAGCACATAATACCATGAAACAAAATCATGAGATATGAGTCGTAGAAGCATTGCATGATTACATGTAAGGAGTGTCAAAAGGTAAAGTCAATAAAATGCAGATTGCAGCTTCATACTGTAATATCAGAGATTGTTAAGCAGCCAAATGCTCTGTCGTTCAAAAGATGTGATGCCTTTTTTAATCCACATTCACGACATTCTGTACCTTGGCTCTGAAGTTGAGTGCATTACTCAGACTAAAGGAGAAGTTTGTTCTTAGTTTTTACAGACAACGCTCCCTCCCAACATACAAAAGTCAGTTCACTTTCAATGAAGCTTTTGTAAAACAAGCACAGCATAGCACTGGTGTTGTTGTTCCTCGTAGCAGGGGAGACGGATGAATGTCTTCTAAAATGAATGATCTTTCCTTGAGGATTCTTTGTGTTTAAAGTCGATTATTTATTTAAACAACAGTAGCAAAAGTGATTTATCTCTGTGCTGTGACTGGTCTCATTTAGGAGAAAATTATATCAATTTAATTTACAATTGTCATGACGACTACGGTCTACTTGTCATTGTCAAATGCTTTACTCGACTTTAAACATTAAGCATCCAATAACATTTTTAGCATCACTTGGTAATCTACGTCTCTGGTAATCTAGAGACCTACAAAAAATGACTACAGTGATGGATGAAAATTAAAACCTTTTTTTAAAGATACTATCAAGGAAACCATGTTTTAGCTGTGTTAAACTTAAAATAAAAAATAAAGAAATGATTGTATCTCAAGTTGTTAAAAAGCCACAAAAGTCACAGGAGTGTGAGTATTTTTAATATGAATAAACAGCTGATACATCTGAGAAGGTTTGCTTCAAAACATGTAACCTGCACTCTGTTTACTATGATCAATGCGCCCCAAAGTAAAGAGCTAAATCTTATTCTGTATGCATTGCTTTTCCTGCATATTCACCTGTATTGAATTCTCTGCTGGAGTCGAGCTGCTCAGCTTCCAATGTAAAACAGTTGGCCTCTTCTTGCCATGAGTCTTTGCCTTCTTATATTAAATAAAAACTATTCCTACAGCTATTTACATAAGAATACAAAACGATTACTATCACTCACATAAACTCCAATAAAACACGCCTCTCACAAAAAAAATAAAATCCAATATAAGTGCATCAAACTTGTTTCTCTTTAGAGCAAAATATACCGCAATCACTTTCTGACAAATGATATTCCCTAAAGCAAAAAAGAAAGATGTGGCGAACTGTAAGTCAATAAAAGTTGGCCTCTGCTTTTCAACTTGAACAAGCTACAATTAACTGGAAAATAAAAGGTTTAAAAATTTGAAGCTGTTTGTCTGTTTAAGATAATCTAATAATATTTGTGGGACAAGATACACTTTAACACACTCTCAGACTTTAAGCAGGGCTGTTATTAAGAATATTACTGCAAAGTTTCTTTTGGAAATCCCATCATCTGGTTGGCCATGATAAGAAATAAAAAATGAAAATGCAACTCCAAGCATTTATCAGGCCAGCATTTCTCCCTGCAGAGGTCGACGAGCTGCTCTGTAAGCTGTAACAGACGTTTTACTGATCTCTCCACTAGCTGGTTTTCTTCAGCCCGGGCAGTGTGAGCTCATACCTGAAGAGGGAAAAGAAACACATTATTATTAAAAGGACACTAAGCAATATAAATTGTAATGTAGTTTCCCTTCAAAAAGACTTGGGTCAAACAGTATTTGTCAGTTTATTTTTGATGTTTTTAAAACCATAGTTTAACATTTTGCATTCTTACAGAGAGTTACCATATTTTCCGCACTATAAGGCGCACTTAAAAGCCTTTAATTTTCTCAAAAAATGACAGTGCGCCTTATAATCCGGAGCGCCTTATATATGGATCAATTGGTTAATTGGTTGATCATACTGGTTGTACACGGCGCTCAGCGACACTGACTCGGATAATGACGAGAGGGAGCCGGGCATGTTGGATGCCGTACTCGCCCAACTGTTCAATTCGGACACTGAAGAAGAAGAATTCGAGGGATTCGTGGACGGGGAATGAACTGAAAAAGTGAGCTTTACGTGTTATACGTAACTGAACAATGTTGAGTTATGCACTAACGTTTGAATTAGCGGTATCAGACTGTGTTTCTTTTACGTGTTTACAACTGAACAAGGCTGGGAGATATTGTGAATATGCACATTAACGTTTGAACAACGTTGAGTTATTGTGAATGCACTTATATTTATATATTCACAATATCTCCCAGCCTTGTTCAGTTGTAAACACGTTCTATTCTATGCGCCTTATAATCCGGTGCGCCCTATATATGAAAACAGTTCTAAAATAGGCCATTCATTGAAGGTGCGCCTTATAATCCGGTGCGCCTTATAGTGCGGAAAATACGGTAAATGACAAGATGCCGTCAAGTCAAACTGTGAGTGTACCCCAGCAGAAAGACTGGAAACAAGTAACCTGGCCCTGTTTAGTTATAACCCAAGTCTGCCTTCCTTAAGCTTGTGAAATAAGAAGTTATATCATATTAAAGGTAGTCAGTAGCGATGTTGGTTGCAGCTTGTAAACACAACATTCCAGTTGTGCCCCTCCTTCTGGGCTCATGGCCACCAGAAGTGCACGCCCACTGCAGCGTTAGCGTGTCAGTTACTGCTTCCGCCTACACACTGCGAGCTGTCTGAGAATATTTCATTTGTTGTGATGGAAAAGCTGATCATTTAGCAACCTTCACCCTCGATTTGGAACAAGCTTCATGTGCTTAGCTTTTCGACTCTATATGAATATATTTTTTTCGTCTTTGCTGCTAGGTGCATCTCAATATTCACTGGTGGATATGGTTTCCTGTAATTCACCTCACCTTTTTTTTACCTGTTGTGTGGCGGGATGTAGACGTTTACTGCTATCGTCATAGTAATCGGCAGTTTTTTTTTTTACTTTTTATTTTAAGTTTTTTGCTGCGTCCTTTAACGTGACCTCTCAGCAACATTTCTTCAATCATAGCCACCATGGCTGTTGCATCATCAGTGTAACTACAATATCAGTATAATTTCTTTACATGAGCTCTGATTTTAATGCACATTTTATTGCTTTCTTAACTATGTCACACCAGTTTTTTCAATAGTTAATTTTACAAACCATAGACATGCAGTCAATGGGTGTTTGGTTTATTTTTTACTTTTATGTTTCAAGACATACCAGATTGTGACAAATTCAGTTGTTACCCAGTACAGAATGCTGTACAATACGTTACTGGTCACCCCAACGACAAGATGTAGACATGTTGTAGAGATATATTCATGTAGGGCCATAATGAAGCCCAAAGACCTTTCTTTTAGTTCGACCAAGAGGTTCTCATTCTTGTTTTTGTTTACATTAGCTGGCAATTAATGTTCTATAATAATCATCTACTCTTAACACTTTGTCTAAGCAACAACATGATAACTTCAAATGTGACTGGCCGATGCTAATTGACTGCAATGGAACCATACATTGATTATTGTGACATTTATATGTAACGACAGTAACTGTTGAACAAAAGAATTCTCAGTCTTCTTTTTCAGGCTTGATGCAGCAGTAGAAAGCTTTTCCAAACCATCCGAACCAGCTTTGAATTCCAGACTCCGGGATCTCATCCTGCACCACATCATTGGAAATTGTAAGAGCAGGGGTCTCATTTATAAAAGAATGCGTAGAATCCATACTAAAAATGTATGTGCGCCAAAAACCTGGAAATGGCGTGCGCACAAAATGATTCAGATTTATAAAACCGTTCGTACGCACACCTGCGCGCAATGTTCCCTTTATAAATCACGATCCACCTGGAAATGTGCGCACGTAGATTAGTCCCATGTTTCGTCCTCTACACGCCCACATTCAACCATAAACGGTCAATGCAAAGCAGCTCGTGAATGAAAATGCATACAAACGAGGGGGCAGAGCAAAGGTTTCCAGCACTGGATCCCGGAATTTTAGACAAAGAAACGAAACTTTCTGACCCAGAAACAGAGGAGTTTGTGAATGAAGTGAAGGATAAAATGGACATATGGATAGTTTACTGCAGCAGGAGGATCACAAACTTAAGAAAAATCAGAGAGTGAGACCATGTCGCTGCTGCATTCACCCTGTCCTATGTGCCAAAACATCCACCGTTCATCATTACGCACGAGTATATCTGCAATGTTTACATGGCCCTTTCCGAATTGTCACAGTACGTACTATTCAGTAGGGAGTTTCAGTATACTGAACTTTCGTGGTCATTCAGTATGCATTTTTTGGGTCCGCGCAGTATACTGAACATTTCAGTATGGATACTAACTTCCGGGTTTCATGCAGTATGGATCGGATGCGTGCTTTCAGGAAATGAATTGTGTTTTACCACCCACAATGCAGTGCGAAATTTAACGTACATCGTCACATCACGTGCGCCTCCAAATCAAAACAAACGAGCGTGGATTAATTTAATCAATTTTTAATCTAGAGTTAAAGTCCCGACTGAAATCACTACTTTAAATTAACAACAGAAAATATAACAAATATCTGCATTATTATAAAACTTTCCCCCTCTATTTAAATAATAATTTCACTATTTAAATGCGTCTTTATTGGTTTATTTTATATTCTGTATATTACTGTCTTTCATTTGGACTTTTCTTTTTGTACTGTATGTTATTTAGTTATTTAATCTGCATTTTACTTGATTTACATTGTGATATCGTTTTTTGTTTACCTGACTGTATATGCGCATTACTCTTCTTGAATAAAGATAAACAAAAAAACGGAAAAAAACGGTGGATGTGGCCGGTTCGGGAAACGTAAATGACGTCACTTCCATACTGAATGAATCAGAGAAGTAGGCACAAATATCTGCCTACTGTGTGCATACTGAATAGTAGGTACTAACAGTATACAGCACGGATAGTACGTACTGCATACTGCCTACTGAAAGATTGAGTAGGTACTTGGCAATTCGGATACGGCCATGTTTACGTGACCCACACTGACTTCATATTGTCAGAGTGCTCACGTCAGTCAGCAGTCTGCCTCACTATATCATATTAGTAATCAAAAGTTTGACCAACGAACAAAAATGTTTGATTGTTGGTCCCTTTTTTTCGTGGGAAACTCTGTCTGCTCTGTGACTAATTATGAGGATATATATACCTAATGATCGTGTCAGAGATGCCCCGACTTAATGTCCACACTTGAATTATTTACAGAATAAATACGTGCAGCTGATGAAGATGTGCTGAGTATGGAGGAGGCGAAATGTGTGAAGCCATTGCCGTGTCTCTGTGCGCTCTGTGCGTCCTGACGCAGGCATCTTTATTAAAACTAAAAACCACACTTGATGATAAATGCACGATATTGAAAGATATTAATGAAAACTAGTGGCTCTATGGTCTTTGTGTTAGTCTAATGTTTAACTCTACATCAGTGATTACATTAGTGTACAAGTCTGGTCCTCTGAGGTCCATCCGGGATAATGAAGGCGAGACGGCACTGATTCAATATGTATGAGGTGGACTTTTTTTGTTTTGTTTTTATTTGTTTATATCATAATTAAAGTGACTTATTGGAAACGGCTTACTACATGCGTGATTATAGCCTAAATAAAACCATCGGTTTGAATGATTCTGATGACGTGGATCTGTCAGTAAAGTTTGATATTTAGTGAAATAAATTGTGGAAGAGACATCAATATGTATCTGCAGGCTTCAATTCACCACTTCACCGTCTGTGTCGCCAATTTCCCTTGCCTCCAAAATGAACGTACGCCTGGGTCAGAGTTTGCTTACCGGTGCGCACATTTTACCGCCAGGTTTGTTTTTATACATCACTAACTTTGCGTGGGAAAAGGCGTACGCCAGTTTCAGACCCCGTTTTGTGCGTACACAACGGTTATAAATGAGACCCCTGGTCTTCTGCTGGGCTGCTTATTTATCACCTCACCCCCCAGGACTGACGCCATAAATACTGGCGGTTCAGCTGGTGGGGTTACATGCCGTGATTGAGTTTGTACCTCAGCAGACTCTTGTGGAGGCTCTTCTTGTGTAGTCTGGGTGACAGCAGAGGTTTTGTCAGCATCAGCATCGGTTACATTAGGTGGCAGGGCAGGCAAACTGGCGGCTTCTTGGATAGGCTGCGTTTTCCAAACCTGACCCCCTAAGACTGAAACCTTGACTGTGGGTTCATCTGGTTGGGTATCAGGAGGAGATAGTTGCAACCTTTCACAACTATCTCTCACGCCTATCTCAAACCCACAAACTCCAAAGTAGACCAAAAGAGTTGAAGCTCCAGTCATCGGAACAGATTTTATGAGATGCTGTGATGTCACAATCAACAACATTCTACAACTCCACAACATAGAACTCATAATTTCACACTCCTATTGCCATAGCAACACAACACAGAAGGACTAACATGTAGCACATATTAAAATGTATCTACAATTATACCCTGTTTAAATCCTTAAAATGAAAAACTCACACAACAACAGAGCCCCAAACCATGAAAGGGTGTGTTTTGTTAAGACTGTCCTCCACAGAAAAATTACAACATCATTAATTCATCTTTTGCCCCAAAACAAAGTATGGTCCATCCTCTAAGTCCTCTACGGCCGGTTAAAAATACAAGCAAAAGAAGTTTAAATGATGTTGTTAATGAGCTATAAATTCCATAGAAGTGTTAACTACCTAAAAGTATGACCATGAGTGTCTGAAATCACTACTTTATTCACCATTCAAACTATGTATGATGTGCGTTCAGAATTCATAGTATGCAATTTTGTGTATGTGAGAAGAGGCCAGATGTATACAAGATCAGCCATGATTATAAGTATAATATGGGAGAACACTAGTCATACTCAACTCAATACTCAAAATCCCTGCAGCCAGCCTCATTCAAAACCTGGCTCCTCAATAGTTAAGCCTCATTCAATAGTTCACTTTTAAATGCTCATCTGATTTTATTTCCACTGGAGGCCATGCTCAGTTGTGTCAATCAACTTCCCCTAAGATCAGTGTGTGGTTTGGACACCCAGCTGTGTAATGGATTTATGACTTTAACCCCTCACGCTCATGACAGTGTGTTTAGTGTTTGTCGATATACAGTATGTTCATGTGTATGGTGAGGGTTGAAAATATTTTCAAATTCCTGGCTGAAAAGGTTTGTGAATATAAATACAGCAAGAAAATATACTAATTCTTAGATTCATAGCTCAGGTTATTTAAAATCTAAAAATCATCTTTGCATTGATTCAAAACTACACAAGAATTATTTGCAGGTGCATGGGAAGGAAAATAAATGGGCATCATACCATTGTGTGTCACCGTTGACGAGATTCATCTGTGCCAAATCTATCAACACCTGTGGTCAGGAGCAAAACATGAAAGTCAAGTTATTATAGTCCATGTTATAAGAGTGTGTACTCTACCACAAGAAGAATTTCCTACCATGCCAATGTCCTTTCTCTCGCGTGAAAATAACATCTTGTTATTTTTCACGGACACGTCCAGCTTCCTGGTTTTTGCTTCTTCAAGTGACACATCAAACTCAAACCTGTGACCAAAGAAGGGTTGGGAGAAAACAAATTTAAGTATACCGCAACAAGCTCATGTTGGAAACCAGAAAAGCAACCGATTAAAATATAAGCTCAGGAAATGTGTGATAAGTTCCTGAAGTTACTTGTCATTGAAGATAGGATTGATTGTCCTCTTCGTCACGTGTGTCTTCTTGCGATGTCTCCAGGTTTGGTCAGGGAGCAAATACAGACGGACATAAGAATCTGTGCCATTCTCACTGCAGGGGAATAAGTTCCTGTAGGTAACGGGTATAAAAAAAACAAGTTTTCAGTGCCCGCTTTGCAATTCCTCTATCATAGTCCTTCATGAATATCTGTCTAGGGTTTTTTTCTGAGCACAAGTGTCTTTTTTCAATTGTTTTCAATGAGGGGAGAGCGTTCGCTGCAGCAGACAGACGCCGGGCAGTGGCGGTTCTAGACCACTTTTACTGAGGGGGCCAAACTGGGGCCAGTTGTTTTTTCAGAGGGGAACATTAAACCTCAGTGAAAAATAGACAAGGATGATCGCTTTAAAAATATGTATATTATGGCAAATAATAGCGCACATTTTAAAATACCACAACATTAAATACCATGATTTATATTTGTTCAGTAACAGTATTTTATACTAGATTTGGAGTCCGGTTGTTGTATACTGTGTATGTGTTATGAGGGGGGCTCTTCCTTTTGGAGGGGTGGCCACAGGGGGGACCAAGCTCCGTGTTAGAGGGGCACTGGCCCCTGTTGGCCCCTACCTAGACCCGCCCATGACGCCGGGAGAAAATACACAGCGCACAGCTTCTTTTTTCCAAGTGCTCTGCCTTTTTTGGCAGCAACTCTTGAGTGCTTGAGTTAAAAAATCTTTCCACTTTTCAGACAGGCGACGTCACTGGCGCTCTTTTCCAAATGAATGATATTCCATACAGTTAATGCAATGGAGCAGGGGCAGTCATACAGTGACTGTTGTCAACAGACTGTCAAAACACTTAATTTAGCGTTCCGGGTGCACAGCCAGCGCTTTCATGTGCTAAATGGACACGGGGCCATGAAATAATTTTCATTTTTAATAATGTTGGAATCAGTCAAATACAGGCTGCTGTAAGCATTCTCATCAAAACTGTGTTTTAGTGACCTTAGGACTGAGAGAGAAATTAGGCCAAGGTGATTTTTTTGCATAGCATGAAGATACCATGCAAAAAATAGCAACCTCATTGTGTTTGAACAACTTAATGGTTGAATATTTTGTTAGTCCAAGAGCTTTGAATTTCCCCCTTGGGACAAATAAAGTTTTTTGAATTTGAATTTGAAGCTAATTATAAGTACGGTATTTCAAGATTAATTTGAAACACAAAGGGCTTGGTATGTACACTGAGTAAAAGGTTATACCTCTGGGTGTCAGTACTGCTTAAAGGCAAAAAAATTCTGATTTACCGTACCTGCAGGAGTTTACCAGGATGATGAGTTTTTTCCTTAGAGTGGCATAGCGTACACTCACACTGATTTCCCCAAATGAACCTTGATGTTTCCTGATGGCCCTGTAGTGAATAAACATTTATAGAGGTCACTTTTATTGTCCCTGCTCTTCTAACATCCACAGAAAGTCCTTTAAGTCGGCACAATAACAAGTGTTACTCACTCTGGATAGGACCCTCCATCTGAAAGATCCAGACGAGACGAAGCCATGGAGTTCTCCGACAGCAGGCTATGGGAGTCGTAGCGGCGCATGTTTGTCGTGGAGGAAGGTGACTTATGGGTTTCAGAAGCCAGGAAGGAGCCACGGCGGTGATTTAAATAGTTCCTATTTGAGCCGTTCTGGAAATCTGCCGGCTGGGACGGAGGTGAGGCTTGAGAGGAGGACGCTGGGAAGGGGGCAGTGGATTCTGAGGCATAACCTCCTGGGTTTGTTTGTGGTCCTTGTTGTCTGACATGTGGAGGTGGATTGAGGATGACCTTGGGGGTAGGTTTTTCCAAAGAAAGGATCTATCATGGGATACAGGAAGTGACTCATGTCAATGACACAATGTAAAAGAAATTGTGATAATATCGTTCCAGAGATCTAGGTGATGGTAAAATAACATTAGATTTCTCCACACACACACACACACACACACACACACACACACACACACACACACACACACACACACACACACACACACACACACACACACACACACACACACACACACACACACACACATATATAAATAAATAAATACATTTTGATCTACTAATTGTGTGTGTATGCTAATATTATGTACCCACCCTGAGAGTGGCTTTCAGTTTGATCTGGCTGTTTGCTCCAGAGCGCTCCAGCGGGAAACGCTGGTCCAGAGTCATGTTGGAGGTGTTGACGAGGCGACTCAGGGGAATGTTAAGTACACCAAGCTCAGTCTTCTTCTCATGCGCTTTTATCTGGACAACAAGAGCAGAGAGTGTGAAAAGTTTCAGTCCTCCTGAGGCTTTTTAAAAGTCTGACGACAAAGGTACAGGTTAGTTTAGGATTCACTTCACTGGTTTTCTCCTAATCAAAGAAGATTTATTTCTTCACTCTGATAAGTAGATAAGAACGTATAGTCTCAAAGGACTGCTACAGTGCAGAAGCACATGTTAAATTTAATTTAACATGCGCTCAGCTACGCTGCGCTCAGCTACGTTCAGGAACATTGCCTTTAGCTTAAGAGACCGGCAGGTTTAATGCCATTCCAGAGGAAGACCGAGTTTGTTTGTTGTGTGAGTTAGGTGAAACTGAAAACAAGATTCACTTTCTGTTTTACTGCCCGATGTATGCTGACATCAGGGATGTTCTTTTTTTTTTAAATGTCTTCAATTTACATTGATTTCTTTTGGCTAGACGATTATGAAAAACTTGAGTTTTGTTAAAATAGGAACTTTTTTTTATTGCAGATTTTGTTTGTAAAGCCTGGGAAAAAATACATAACACGTTGTATAAGACTGCACTGTGACAGGAGCCTGCAACTTTGTAATGTTATGATATGTTATTGTAAACCACTGCAACTGAATTCTCTGGTGTCTTATAATTCCCATTATGGTTGGGCACTTTGTGTGCATGACACGAAAATAAATTCAATCATATCATATCAATCATATCCACACAGGTTCATATGAAGTCAATATAAGCAGCAGTTACCAATAACAATTTCAAAATTATTCTCAGCTTTTATAATAAAAAAATTGAGAAGAGAAAAATGTTGGAACATCTAAATTTTGTTTTGAGATTTTAAACGCTATCAGCAATCGTGGAGACGTACTTATTTCTAATTTCTTGATAAAAAACATTTAAACCACTTCTTCAGGAAAAAAATTAATCGTGTAGTTTGTACAGATGTAAAGGCAAACCTGAAGACTGAGCTGCTGTGTTTTGACGCTATGCACAAAGAAGGTGAAGCCTTCCTCCCACACCGGGTCTTTGGAAGCGTACACAACCTTTTAAAAGAAAAATCAATCAATTGATGCTGAAATGAAAAAAATAAAACGAAATACTTACATTGATTAATAGATGTTTATTCAATGTATCATACAAATTCAAGACAAAATGTTCTATGAATTTTAATTAAACGAGAGTCGTACCTTGCTTTTTTGTACATCCTTATCAACGGAAAATTCCACATAAGAGTCGGGCCCGGCATTTCTCTTTGTTAGCTGAAACAAATAAATACAGAAGTGAGCAAAAATTCATACGGCAAAAATGTTATCCTTCACGTTTATCATTTTTGTCATGATTCTATTTCCTTTAATTTTACTTTGTTTTGTTTAAATGTCACATATTATTTCCCTCAGACTCCAGGGTTACTGCCCTTTGTGATGTCATGAAGGGAAAATCTCCAAATGGCCTGTTTGAGCACACATTTTCTGCAAAGTGGAGCAGGCCAAAGACGGAGAGGATGGACCTCTGTCACAATTGGGGGGGTTTGTAGACAGGCTAGAGACTCATATTAGTGTTGAAAAAACATGGTTCATTTTGCATAATAAGTGACTTTTAAGTCTACAACGCAGAGGCATTGTTTCCTTTCACTCAGCCACACACACACACACACACACAAATGTCTGAAACCAGAATCAGCAGATAAACTCATGAGCAGAATAACTCATGGTTAGCAATCAATTGAAACCACTGAACCATTGAAACCACTTGCATTCAGTGTTTGAGTCCCATATTGCCCTTTTGTTAGAATTCTGCTTTGACTTGTATGAAAATGCTACCAGCAGTAAGCTAACATTGGGGGGGTTTGTCAACAAGCAGTCTGTTGCCTTCCAGGTTGGGCAGGTTTGCATTCCAATCCCTAATACACTGCAGACACACAAACACAACTGGGATACCTAAAACAGATGTGTGTGCTGGCAAAAACACTGACAAGTACACATTTCTCTACAGGAGAGGAATGTGAATGTTGCTGGTGTTAGCTACAACTAGCATGCTAGCATTAGCTTGGCTGATTTTTACAAGAGGAAAGATAAGTTCGAAGGAGTGGACTAATTTCTGGTGGAAGAGGTGTTCAGATCCTTTACTTCAGTAGAAGAAACCAAAACAACACTGAAAAACATTCACACAAAATACAATTAAAAACTTATAAAAGTTTGAAAGACGAGGGAAAGTACCCGAAAGTTGAAAGTAATTTAGTTATGCTGATTTTGAGCTTAATTCCCCCTTTTGCTGTTTTACTATCATAGGCTTATAATATAGATATGTATTTGTCATGCATTATTATAAAAGCAGGTTTTAACATTTGATCTGTCATTGCTTGAAGCAGAGCTAATTTATACTTCATAAAACATTATCAGGCTATTACTTATTGACATAAAACATTTTTATCAGTGTCCAAGCCTGAACTATTTATACTGAATTTCCTTTTTTTTTTTTCAAATAATTTCTATCTCAAGCAGCAAATCTTGTAAAGATGTGGCTTTTAACAAAACAAACATGTTTTGTGTGTGTAACCTTGGTTTGCTAGTATTTTAGTAACTACAATGACATAATACTGTGGAATATAAGCACAATACACCTCAGGTTTGTACTGAAGAAAAGTAATCTACAAGGTTTCTTTAACATAAATAGTTTAGGCAAAACTGAATTCAGCATGTTGGCTAAGACTCAAATATAAAGAAACTTTTGACTGGGTGACTTTTAAACCACATCGCAATTAATGTTTTTGCTGTGGAAGGAAATAATCAATCTGTTAAACAAGATTTTTTTTCTCACCTACATTTGAAATAACCCGTTTTATCTAAAAATGACACGTTTAAATAATAATAAGAAAAACAGTGTTTTACTCATACATCACTGGTCTCTTTACTGACTGTATTTTTACACCATGACCAGCAGAGGGCAGTCTGAGGAAATAACTGCTGATAACTTGAGTAACAAGAACTAGTAAAAAGAGATATCTGTGGAACAGGTCAGGGTCCTAACTTGTCCTTGAAAACTTCCTACTTAATCACAATTACCTAATCACCACACATAAACAGGGTTTATAACATGAGCACAGATTTTAAGGGGGTAAAATGTCAAAGATGCTGTAACATCATCTGTGAAAAAATAGTTCTTAACATGATTATGTTCCAAGTAATCAGCATTTTTTTTCCCTTTGTTTCTTTAGGCTGGGAAGCTCACAGTGAACCGTGTCAGGTTAAGGGAGTGATGAAGAAACCTAAACACCGACTGGTTATAACACACCCACATAAAATGACAGGCATGCACCAGACCAACAGGAAATACCAGCTGCACACAGGGACATGTACACCTGGAGCAACAACAGCAAACACCTGATATGGCTGTGGCTTTTGTCTCAGATCAAGATACAAAACAGTGATCGATGAAAAAAGCCATACACAAACAACTTGTTCTACTGCTTTTGCTCTGTTTACCCTACAAATGTACGACTGAAAGGAGCCAAATTATTTCAACTTGGCTTTTAATATGGGGCAGAAAGGCAACTTCAAATATAAATCACAATTTTTTATGTCATTTTTCCATCAGCTACTAAACACAACAGTACACCCTCTGAAGAACTGAGCTGGGTTTAAGTGAAATACACCAAATTCACCACACTATTCAAACTAATGATTAAAACAACTATATGGATAAAATTGCATTTTGCAAATAATTATGGAATTTGATATATTAAAGGGGACATATTAAAAATCCACTTTCACAGTGTTTTTGAACATATATTTGGTTAACCTGACCCACAAAATGTGAAATAAACCCATACAGTCCTTGTTTTGTGGACTGCATAAGTCTTACAACACAGAGAAAAATGCTCAGTTTCAAATTTGCTCAACTTGTGATGTCACAGTGGGACTCTGGTAAAAAAAAAAAAAAAAAAATCCCCTCCCCAGGTATCTCCACCCCCAGCCTAGAGCAAAACTTCTGCGCAGGTCCGCCATTTTTATTCTCGCTACAGAGGAGTGATGTCTACAGGGAAAACTCAGGGGAGGGGCTTATTGCATTTAAAGAGACACACACACCAAAACGTAGCGTTCTGAGAGAGCTGGTTTATACAGGGTCACAAACCTCCTCTGGTGCTTGATTCAAGTTATATTTTGACCAAAGCACAGCACAGATGTTTCATTTAGACCACAGGGGACTGTTTGAAAAGGAGAAAAAGGGGGTATAATATGTCCTCTTTAATCTCAATGAATTAAATAAAATGTATGGTTTTTTTTTGTGTTTTGGGATTAAATACACTGCATATCAAAATGAGATTAATTGGATTATCACCAGTGGTGCACCTCTGAAAGTTTATATGTCATGCTTTGTTATTGTTATGTTCAGCTCAAACTCATCGACTACCTGTGTCTCTTTACTTTGTACTAAGAAAAAATTAAGAAAACAAGTGTTTTGTTTATAAGAAGTTTTGATATTGCACAAATATGTTTGATAATTGTCTTTTAGTGAATTTAAATGTATTCATGTTTGGGGGATGGTTCATGTTAAAGGTGCTGTTGTGATGTTGGCTAAATGACATCCTGGAACATTTGATTGACTTTCAGCCAATGTGTCAGAATAATTCCAAGTTGGAAAGGTCATGTTAATGACCAGACTGTAAATAAATATTCATTCATTCATTGTAGGATTTAAGAACACTTTTTGTTTTCTGTAGAGGGTATTGGGCCTCTCAGACCAGACAGGCTCCTCCTTATAGAAACTACATGGGACAGAGGCCTCATGTATAATTAAAATAAGGCCGTGTTAAGATCCCATATGTAAGCGTTCGTCTTACCCGAGCTTCGTTTGAGTGCTTCCCATGTTTCTTATGCCCTGCGATCTCTTTGTGGTCTTTCTGGACACAAACACAAGAACAAACATCAGCATGTTTACCTCTCTATGTTACTATATATTACATGATCTTTAGAAAAAAAAAGGTTTTTTTTAGGCAACACTTACTGGTAGGTTTGACGCATTGTCCAGATATACTGCAAGCATAGCACAAGCAAAGCCATCTGCAGACTAAAGGAGAGGGACAGCAGAGAGCAATGCATGACTTACCCACATCATGCCTGATGATTATGAACATAAAGATTATTAGAATAATAAAGGTACTAATGCAAATACAATGAAGCTACCTCTGTCTCAAGGTTGGGATCAGTCAGTAGGGAAAACCACTGGAGCTTCAGGTGAACTTCTCCATTCGGGACCCCTTCCAGAGGAAACCACTACGACAGGGAGAGAGATTCATTAACAAACATGATGAGTCATATTCAGACTTTACTCAAAGTAAGGAAAAAAGGTGTTAATGATAATGATGCAATAAGCGATTACTGCTGCAGCATGTCAGGTTGTTCTCATATAAATAAAACAGGAGGGAACAGTGAACTTTCCTCGAATGAATTGGATGATTACTATTTACTATTCACAATTTATTTCACTTTATCGGGTGTGTCCATGCCATAAAAAATACCTCACCTGATCCATTTCTTTTTCCCTTTTTACCTCTCCCAAATCAAGATGATACCTACAGAGAGAGAAACAATGGTCAGTGCTGACTCTAAGAAAAAGTTTTTAAAAAAGACACGCACATCCCTCAGTGGGTGCTGGATCCAAAAAAGAGGAATAGGTAAGGAACGCACAACAAGGTCACACAACTCTTCCAAGTCTAAGGAAGAGGGTGTTGGCTCGAAACGTCCCTTTAATAAATCCTTCAAACTGGGGGCTTCTTGGTGTGAGGATCTTGTTTTGCTTTCCTTACCAGTGCTCACTCTAAAGCACTAACATATGAAAATAATACATTTCCTGCACTACAAATACACAGAACTGTAACAGACGATTAATTCAAATTCAATCTATAAGTAAACTTCTTTCTTCCTTCTACCAGGAAAGTCATTATTTGACCAGTGAAATTAATCTAGTTATTGTTTTATTAGATTGTTGAAAGAGGATGAGTCAACTTGATTCATAAGAGGGGGAGCTGTTGCCTATGTGCAAGAAAAGGAAACTTTTTCAATTGTCTTCTAATGTCAGCTTGAGCGGAAAAAATGGCGCCAACTTGCTCAGTAACAACCATAGACTGTAAATGTTAACGTTTGAAGCCTGAGTGACGTCACTCATCTGTTTCTACAGGGGGCTCCAGAGGCTCATCAGCAGCAGCCTCCATGCTGGAAATCTTGTCTGAGCATAAGTTTCAGTAAACCCAACGACAGGCTGAGAGCTTGAGCTGAGGCGGGTTTTAAGCCTCTTGACATCGCCCCCACCTGTCAAGCATGTCAGCTACGCGCCTAACTATGGATAACACGTATCATTCATAAAATCAAAACGGAGAAGTTTAAAAAAAAAATCACCACCCGCACAGTGTGTGCCCATGTCGACAAAATCTAATCACACCTATTTCCTTTTTGTACCAGGTTGTAAACATGTTAATTTATGCTGTAAAATCGGCTTTTTGCCTGTTGTGTGTATGTGACTTCCTGTGTTCCTGGAGCCAGCCTCATGCCAACACTCAACGAAATGCAGAATTTTACACTTCCACATTGACTTCATTTTTTAAGACCGGAGGTTGCCGCTTGGTAACGACACACCTCTTACTAGACAAGAGTTTCAGTTTCCCTTTTCCTCTTATCGTCTGATTTAGGATTAATGTCTTCTTTTATAAATTGCCCACTTACTGTGAGTGTTGCTAAGCAGCATTATGCTTAAATAAGTGTAATGTCTATACAGTATTAATAATAGAAACCATGTGTTTCAAACAGCATTAACTACTTACTTTCCAATGAAGTCATCTTTATCTGTGTCTTCATCAAACAGGTCCACCTCCAACTCTTGGCCTGGAGCCTCATGGACGACAAACTGCACATGGAGGAACCAAAAAACTGATATCATTAAAGTCTCCAGAGTTAAGATCCATATCTATGCTCAGCGGCACACTTGATTGGAATTGTAAAGCATCTAGGGAAAGGATTTAACAGAATATACCTGTGGAAAGATAATTTAAGTTACAACTGAAAGTGCATTAAAAAAAAAGAGTGAAGGGAATGAAGGAGATTGTCACATGGTTTTTTTGTACTGTAAATTATCTTAATACCTCTTTTAATTATATAGCACTGCACTCTAACTTTTATGCTAGCCTTTTTCAGACAGTTTAATGATTTTTTTAACCTTTGTTTTTATTCATGTGGTTTTATTCATCTTCTGTACGATTTTTAATGGTGTGCTCTTTTATTGTGTTTTATTCTGACCTTTGTCACGATGCTTTTGATGTCATGCATGAAACACTTTGACTTGCCTTGTTGCTGAATCATGCAATAAATAAATAAATAAATAAACCTGACTTGTCTTCTCTCACAGGATGAAAAACACATCCTACATGTTCGGTCTGTTAAGGTTTATTCTGCACTTTTATTACAGAATTAAAAAAACAACACTAATGTACTTTAATATAATCATTAATCATGTAATTGAAACTAAAGTATTCCTGAGAAAGATCGTGTAAACAAAAAGCTGTCCTGTTTAAATAAAATTGCCAACTGGAGTCAGAACAGTGTGCGGACCTTTTACCTTTATTCAGCAGTTAGTACATTACGTGTCCTGCACCTGTATGCACTTTCCCTGGATGTGCACACACACTAGTTTTCTCTGAACTAAACTAGATTATCCCTTTAAAACAATACTAGTATGACTGCCAGTTTTGACAATATTTCCCTCTTACTTTACCTCATGCACTTCATTCCACGTCGGGTGCAGATTCTCTTTCACTGTCTTGGTTTTGAAGTGAAGGTTTCCAACTCGGACAGTCGCGTAGGGGTCTGATTTGCCTTTCACTAAACCCATCATGAAAGTGTCTTTAGCCACAAGGTCTCTGGCCCCTATCAAGTGGACTCGGACCACCCCCTGAGGATCAGAAAAAGAGGGAAAGATTTAGACTAGTAAAGGAACTCAGATTTGAAAAAAGTAATTGAATGGAAATGTTACTTCTTTTTAAAGAGAAACCAAAAAGTATGAAAAAAAACACATGATATAAATTTTGTTTATTTTAAAGTTTTCACAGCTAAATTGTGCAAATTGTGACTGCAGGTGATAAGATTCATCATGTAGAGTACATCTCACTTACACGAGGAAGTGGGAACCTCATCTGGTCCACTTTGACCTGTTCTATGAGGGGAATGCACATGCGGTTGGGCAACACCATCATGGAGGAGATGGTGTCCATAATGGTCCCCTCAGACAATGAACTGAAGAGGTCAGATTACAGAAGAGAGCTTTTAAAACCAGTCTAGTAAACAGCAAAAATGTTGTTTTGACCTTTTAACAACTAACCTGAAGGCAGGGCTGTCCAGAAGGTTGGTCATGCCGGTCCAGTTGATCTCCAGAGTCTGAAAAATAAAGTTGTTTAGCTTCAAACGTATCATTCACACAGCTAAACGGAGGACAGTTATTAAACTCATGGGCACTCACAGGGCGTCGGATGAAGAAAAAGGTGACTCCTCCGACCAGTGGAGCTTGTCCAATCAGAGGCTCTAAAATGACCCTCATCGTTCCTTTGAGCTGCACGATTCAAGACAATTGAAGCGAAAAGAATACCTTCAATGTCAATGTACATTTTTCGGTGCTTATTAAAAACAAAAAAATACAATTAATCACATTCCCACAAGCATCCATGCACACAGATGCCCATCCATGATAGTTATAAAGAAAAATGGAGTACATTCAGTTTGAGGTGTTCTAGGACCAGACCATTTCATATCCGTGCATCATGATTATGGCACATGAAATGTTAATTCACTATGGATTTTTACAGGACTAATAAAAAATGAAAAGATAAACAGGGGGTATGTAAGATGAAACAGAAAAAAATAATACTCCTACTTTTATTCCTTTGACACCAGCTGTGATTGGCGGGTTCACATCGACATCAATGTCCACGTCCCCGTCATAACTGCAAAGTGAACACTGCAGGTGAGACCTTCTCAGGGACTTTTAAGTCTGCTGTGTAGGCTCTAGTTCAAGATTTACAGTAAACTTGAAACACAAAGCCAAAGCTTGCTACGATAAGAAAAAATGCTACGATAAGAAACAAATCTAGCTTACCATATGTCCATGTCCAGGACAACCTCCCTATGATCCACTTCATGCGTGTATGCTCTCATTCCAGTGATCCTGAGAGGCTGGATTCAGAGATGAAAACAAAGAAACAACCTTTGATGAGAGCCTACTGTACAATCTCAGGTGACAAGAAACAGGTATGTTGGCATCATTTCTACAAAAGTTAAAGGTAAAGTTTTGGTTACCGTGTGACAAAACACAATCATATATGGGATCATTTAAAAGGCTGGTTCTGAGAAGACTAATAAATGACACACATAAGGAGAAATACAAACTTACTATGTGTCCAAAGTGGATCTTTGTGAACGTAAACACTTTAAGTGCAGCGCTGGAGAGCCTGACAGCCGGCTGGATGTTTTCTTTGAGCAGTTTCTCCATGTACATCCCAAAGAAAGGCCAGGCCTGCTCCAACACCTGACCACACAAAGCAAAGCCCATGAAACGCCTTGATTCCACACCTTAATCCGTCAGCAAACATCACTTCACTTGCACTTCTGCATGGAGGGCACTGTTTCAGGTGCATCGTTTGTTTTAAATCATAATCACGTAATATTTATAGAAAAAAAAGAAGAAAACTGCGGCCTGTGAGTCGCTCTTTGTCAGGCAATCTATCATATATTGGAACATGCTTGCATGTTTCCCCTTTTGCACCACTGTTATAGATCCTAATCTTTCTATGCTAAATAATGTAGAAACAGAGACATCAGATAATTCTTTCTGCAGAGCCTGCTCAGATTTCATTTTGAAATCTAGCAAATTATGTTGCCGTTATGGCAAGTTATTGGAAGTTTCCAGTAAGGTTAAAAGGGGTTATAGTCCTCAAAGCCGGCAGCCCGGGTTTGAATCCCATCTGTGGCTCCTTACCCGCATGTCATTGCCCACTCTCTCTCTCCCTCCCTGGTTTCTGATTCTATCATATACCCTGGCTCTAAATAAATGCATTCATATTTGTTTTTTTTATTCCAGTAAAGTCAATAAAAAAAAAGATATAACGAATAATTCTTGAATCGTCTTGCTTGCCATGCATTCACTCTCAGCATGCAGCATCAAACCTATCAGATTGATCCCTGTATACGTAGGCCTTGGATTCCAACCATTTGCCAAATCAGATGAAGCCCAATAGCCGTCTGCTAACAACAGAGAAGCTGGTGATCATTTGGTGGCGACTTTCAGGTTAACTTGCATGATGGCTGAAGGAGTAGAGAAGAACTAGGGGAATGTGGTTGACACAGATCTTGTGTTTAAGGATTTTATTTAATTATTATTTAGGAGAGACACGGGCATGTGTCCAACAACAAAGACTTAAGAAGTTTAACTCAGAGCTGATGTGGAAGCTTCATTATTAATTATTCATCTCACTTCATGTCACAATAGCAATTTGAGAAAAACAAAATCACACATCACATATTTTCCTCATATTGTGCCGGCCCACTGCAGGTGAAGAGGTTCTTTAAAACACAACAAATATGTCATTAATGTATTGGTACCAGAAATGAGTAGCAGACCATTTATCCCTTATTTGTATTAGATAAAGAAATCCACATCCTACTGGTAAGGCCTTTAACCAGAGTCAAGACTGTCAAACACAGACTTGATTTAGCAAGTTGATGTTGAGCAAACCACCTGAAAGAGAAACAGAGAGAACTTACTATACCTTGTTTAGCCAGTTAACTTTCTCCACATCAGGAAAGTGGACCTTTAAAGAAAACAAAAACAAATGTAAGATTGAAGATAGAAATGAGTCTGTGGGGTTTTGTTCAAACTCAGTGAGGCATGCATGATGATGGTGGTGGGTGAAGGTGGACATTATCATGTCTTTAATTAAAAGTTGATCCGTCATGCAAATCTTCAATTGGCCAATGAGCACATTAAGAAGACAAGAAAGTTAAATTAAAATAATCAGTTGCCTTAGAAAACTGTTGGATCCAGCCCAATTTAGCTTTTTTTTTTTTTTTCTTATTTAAGAAAATGTGACAGCATTCCTTCATAAGAATGGATATGGAGAATCACAGGAGTTGTTGTTATTCAGGGCTTACCAAAGTTTCTTTGCAGCATCAAAAGACGTGGACTGTAACAGAGGGTCAGGGTCAGGTTCTAATACAGAGCACAAGAGCCCACCCCTTATCCAAATAAACTAAAGTAACATTAGTGCGTCTTGCTAAATGTGCAAAATTTACAAAACTCCAAGTACGTGAGAGTAAATAAGTTCTGATGATAACAGTGGATTTCAGGTTTTGTAGGCAATTATAAATCTGCACAACCCCAAATGGAAATCTGCATGTATGAAAACTACTGCGGCAGTAGTCCAGTCTGTAGGGACTTGGGTTCGGAACAGGAGGGTCGCCGGTTTAAGTGAGGACCTAATCTGGACATTGGTCTGATAGAGTCTGCTGTTCACTTCCCGAGCATTGCCGAGGTGCCCTTGAGCAAGCTGCCAAACCCCGACCAGCTCAGGAGAGCTCACTGTGCCCCCCCCCCCCCATCTCTCCATTAGTGCATGTCCAGGATCCTGTTTGTTCATGTGTGTGTGTATTTCCGCCTATGTGTGTGTAGCATGTTGAACAACAGAGTGCACTATTAAAATCCCCCTCGTGAGAATAAAAAAAGGATATCTCCTACTTCTTCTGATTCATATGTTAAAGCACAGTCAAATGTATGTCTCACAAAAAGAGCCGTTTACAAGATACGAGCTGCTCCCAACTTGAAAATGTCCTTAAAATGTTCACATGTTCACATCACATTTCACTGACACCCAGAGGAACCCCTCTTACTGTCTCTCCCTTTTCCCTAGTTCTCATGAGTCACTGAGGGAGAGGGTGTGGTGTTTCCAAATAACAGCACATCGGGCTGGATGAACCCATTTCAGCCCAAGTGTGGCATGACATGCAAATATTGTTGTCAAGGCAACAGAGTGTGACAAACCTCACAGTGTGTGGCTTTCAGGATGTTTTAGAAAACTTAAATAGGCATAGCCATTTTTTTTTTTCTTCTATTTTTTTGTCAAGTTGGACTTTAATGTTTGATGCCCGGTTCTGAAATGCCACTGAGCAAGGCAGTTCAAATGTATTCCCTATTTAATTGGTCTGACACAGAAGTCTGACATGTTTATGTAGGTTATAGTATCATACATACCCATGTTGCCATTTGTAAGGCGCTTTGAAGCTCCTTGTTGACAACTTGTTTTTCATTATCCACAAAGTCGATGGCGGTTCCGATCCGGGAGTCTTTCCACTGGCGATTTTTCTTCCACCAGGTGACCATCACCATGCACAGCAGCACCCAGCTAATACTGAGGCCCATGTATCCGGTCAGGTACACCGGGTAGAAGACAATAAAGGCCCTGCCAAAGTACATTAGGAACTCCATAAGGATGCGGTTGACAGCGGAGGGATTCAGCTTCTCTGTGCTGCCGTGGACAGACAGGCTATCCCGGAGTGCCGCTCCCTCCGCCGGGCTGCTCGGAATCATCGGTCCGGCGGATGCCATTTGACAGTACTCCCGCTTGACCCGCGTTCCCTGAGGTCCAAAAGAGTTGTCAAAGCTCACTGCCCGGACAGAGTTAGTTTCGTTTCAGTTCACGGCTTTCTTAAAGAAACCAGAACAATGGTGCTTATCTACCAGACACAACATAGGTGCAGCGCAGGGTAGAGTCGTGTGAGTCCCAGAAAACTTCCGTGTTTGAAATTTCCTAAAGGCAGGTAGGCATACCTGCGCCCATGGGTGGGGAATGTGCGTAACCAAGGAGGAATTCAACCCTGAAATGCGTACGATAAACCAACCTTGGTTTAAAAGGGGAATCTTTGTTCACTTTACCAGCGACTTTTAAAAGCTTTCTTGGAGGTAAACCCTAATCTGTAGGCCTATATGATATGAACATACGTTTTTTTTGTTTTTTTTTGCCTGATAGAAGCTACATCAAATAAAAATTGTGTTTCCTCTTCTTTGTCGCCTGCAAGTTTCTGACTCAATTATGGTTTTTTTTTTAATGCAGTTGCTCAAAACATCTTGTCAAATGGCTTATAGTAAAGCAGAGGTTACATTTCTGCTTTCCTCAACGCCCAAAATCTCAGTGTTAAGTCTGTATCTTTGCAGCAGTAGATAAGAGTCAGAGGATACATTTCTGCACGTATCCAATATGACCTGCAGGTGGAGCCGTAGAGCTCAGAAACACCCAACAACAAAAACACAGAGCGATAACATGTCTACTTTCTTTGCCTCTCAGTGATACTGTCTCACTCCGTGGTATCAATGGTCATGTGTAGGCCTACATTAACATGTGGCCATTGAGTTAACCCTTTCCCGATAATTTTAATGTGCATCATAACCTGACACACTTGTGACCTTTGAGGAAAACACTGCAAAGTAAAGCAGTCCAAGAAAGCATTTTTTTTATATTCAATATTGATAATAATACATCATGCATAACATGTCACCACTTTAACAAAATAGTGATTGCAGGACAGACGTGATGTGAAAAACCACCAAGTCTGCTGCTGTAACCGAAACAAGCTGGAGAAAATGTAGTGATCAAGTATTCAAGCCTGAATGAAATCTAGAAAAAATGCACAGCACTTTGGTATACTTGTATTAGTTTTATCTGTACAAACCTGATTTACAAATGCATGACACAACGTTTTGGAAGACAGAAGACCACTTTACACTGTCAGTAGTGTTTTCTTACTCATTCTTACATCATTCTCATGTTGTGTACGATAGGAAATTGGAAAACAGGAAAGCAGATGTGTGTCATCTACATCGCCTAAAATCTCAACCCTTTAAATCTGTGTAACAGTAGATAAGAGCCAGGGAAAATGTAGCTGCATTGACGCGATATGACCTGCAGGCGGAGCCACAGCTCAGAAAAAAAAAAATCCTCATTTACAAAACAACTGGGTGATAGAGCTTTACCTTTTATTAAAACCGTCTTACTTGGCAAAAACGGTCAGATGCACAGCATTATGTGGTAAATTGGACACATTTTCTGAAAAGTGGAGCAGGCAGAAGATGGAGAGGATGATATTCTCTGATCATTGGGGGGGTTTGTAGAAAAGCTCGGGACACGTTAGTATTAGAACATGGTCAAGTGTATTCTGCATATGTGACATTTATATCAAGAACTACTTGCTGCTGTGAGTTGGAGACAGATGTAGAGATTGAGTTATTACCTTCAAATGAAATATATATAAAACAGAAACAACACATTTGCTGTGCTTGTATGAATGTATATTTCTACAGACCTGTTTACTGGAACTACAGTTAACTTTCACTTTCCTTTCAACCTAAAAGTGATTGTAAACCTGATCTCCCACATGCATCACATGATTTCTTGGAAGACAGCAGGTCCCTCCCTGTAAACTCTCAGTACAATGTCCAGTGTAATAACTACAGAGTTTCAATTAAAGGCACTTTTTTATTAGGCATTGTTTGATATTTTCCTGCAGGATTAGCATAAAGTTTGCATATTTATATTCAAGGCAATGGCTGAGACAAGTTACACTTCCACTGAGGAGCCTTTGATCATTACTTGTAGCTTAGGAATCAGTAATAAAACAACTAAATGTACCATTAGAGCTATAAACCAAACATCTTAAGTATAAGTGAAAACAAAAGAAAAGCACATGTTGTGAGGCAGTGTCAGATATAAGGCTTTCGATTGTGTCAAGTCAGTGCATCGATGTGTTACTTGAATGTGATCAAATATTCAGGGTACGCCTGGGTGTCGTGGAAGACAACAAACATGGTGGGTCTGGCTTGGTTGTCCACAACACTGTCGTACTTCTGAACGGAGACGGCACCTTTGGCTGGCGGAGTGATCATGTTTTGTTGGCCAACGGTGAAATCCCCCGTCAGCACTCGGCAGAGGTACATGAACTTCTCCCCTTTCTGGTTTGGCCTGGAGTAGGTGTTACTGGCAGAGTAACTGGCATTGACTGCAAAGTATGTTCCGTTACCATAACACGCAGCTAAAAAAAAAAAAAAAAAAAGGAAGGAAAGCAAAAATGTTAATGAGCAAGACAACCAAAACATTTATGGGCAGTATGGATCATAAAGTCCGCTTCCTCCATGTTAACAGACGGACATGGGTCTAACTAGAATTTTTTTTTTTTTCTAAAACATGGATTCTGTTATTAAAGTTCATTCTTATTATTTAGATTCTTGTCCAATTTTTTGTTTTTGTTGGGACGTTTAGTTTTAACTCAATTTATTTGTTTTCAGTCTATAAACGGAGGTATAACTCCATGATTGACAGCTCTTTTGACAAATGCAGTTCCTGCTTACTGTGCGTGTGCAGCAGATAGGCAGACATTAGGAGAAATGACAACCAATTACATAACAAAAGTCATTGAACTTCCAGGAAGTTGCAAGAACCTGTTCTGCTATAGACTGTGCCAACTTGAGGAGTATTTGTCTTTTTTTGGTAAGTCGAATGTGTGATAAGGAGGCTCCAAATAATAATAACAATAATAATAATAATTGTAGGAGCCATGTTTAGGAAGTGCAAAACACAACTTGCAGGAGGCGTGGCCTTTAGGTTAAGGTGATACTCTATATAGATAGGAACTTTCACTGGGGTGTCAGGTGTTGCTAGACGGGGAGCAAATACACTTCTTTGACGGCTGTACACCACGCTATGAGGTATCTGAATGGAAATGTATGGATTACTGTTTGAACATCACACATATGACATTAATGAAGACAACGATGGTAACACATATATATATATATTCCTTAAAAGAAGAAGATATTGGACTGGAGCGAAGCCAGCAAACGTGTCAATTAAAAGGCTAAATTAGCCCGTCTATGTAGCCCCTCCCCTCAGTGGCTTTAAGTTTAGGCTTATATTCAAAATACATCTTATTCATATTTTTTTTTATCTCTACTTCTCACCGTTCTTTCCTGCGAAACTCCTGTTGAAGCCGTGCTCGTTGATATGGTCGATGGTGTCTTCAGTGGTGCCATGGAAGAGACGTCTCTCGTTGTTCTGATGACCGTTCCTCTGCTCCATAGCCTGCTTCTGCAACTGCAGGCTCTTCCACATTACAATGTTCTGGATCCTATCGATCTACAAGGAAAAAAAAAGAACATTTTGCAAGTTATAGATGTATTGATGCAGGTTGGTCCTTAAACATATGATGACATATGCTTTATGACATGAAAGCTGAGGTGTAAGTATAAAAAGAAAAGGCTCTTAAATGTGGTCTACCTTCAGAACATTTTGTTTGCATGAGGCTTGAAACAGAGTCAGGACTTCAGTGTGCTCTGTTGTTCCCGGCAGGATGTTGACAGCCAGACATGTTTTGTTGGCTGGATTCGGGTCCCAGGACTCAGGGATGTCTTCATCTGGTGACACAATACACAATTATAGTTGTTATTTCCTGGTATCACCAATTGATTACAACATCAATAGGTTTCTGTCACAACATTCATCATACAATCACACAAATAATGACTCATCTCATATGTATAGCTTTTTACATAAATGAGGCGACGCCTGCGACAACTCGAGCTGCACTGATTTCACACTTGACATGCTTCAGTATCCACAACCACCTAACACCTCCTTCCAATTAGCGGCGTATTTAAGCCGCAGGATTTCTGGTCTCTCTCTCTCTCTGCTGACCAGTACAGGTTCTGCACTCTTGCTCAGCCCCACCGCAAACTATGTTCTGCTGCTGCATTAAATATTTTAAAGAAATATCAACGAGAGGAGTTGTCTGACTGAACTGTATTTTGGTGCAGTGCGTCACAGTAACCAACTCAAAAACATGGACAAACCGGGAAGGGGTTAGATTTCGATCCCGAGGTGGCAGTGTGCAACTCACTGTTTACTACCATCAGCCACCGAGAACTCTACCGAAGTTCTTGCCCTTAGGTTTTGATAAACTTTGTCAGCACCATAGTGTATAAGCTGCACGGCGTCAGTACGAAACTGCTCCCTTTACATTGTCTCTGAACCTTCTTATTATCGTCTGTGTCATTCTTTTTAGATCATGTCTTGCTTCCTGAGACCCCCCCCCCTCCCATCCTGTCCTATAGGGATAGTCTCTCACTCTCCCAGGTCAATCTACCTGAATTTTCAAGACCTTTTCAGGAGTGCATATGTGAAAACTGCTCAACTGTCCTCCATTATTGTGGAGGACCAAGAAGCAAGGATGTGGACAAAACATGTATCAACTCATCAGAGCATGCAGGTAAGACATTATACCTTTTAGTTTGTCTATGCGTTTTATCTCTAGGGTGCCTCCCTGGCTATCAGTCGCAGGTCCACTTGGCATTTTCACCGTGTAGTCTTGACCTTGGAGTGTTATTTTTACACTTGGTTTGTTATAATCCAAAGCTTCCTCCAGTTTGTAGTTGCTCATGGAATCAAAACTCTGAAATGCAAGCCCCGCCCTCAGGTACTGCCAGTCTGCCACTGTGCTCGCCGCCTCCACTTTCTTCTTTAGGTCCTCCTCATCCCTTGTCCTCCTCAGCATCTCATGAATCCCATGGCTGGCTTTGAGCACATTCTTGCTGACCCCCTCGATGGTCATAGAGCCTTGGCCGTTCTTGCTCTCAATCCTGATCCAAACCCTCAAGGTGTTCTGGATGTTGCTGATCTGTTTGTGGTCTTCACCGGAAAGCAATAGGATGGAGTTGTCTTGAATGGTAATGCTGTTGAGCTCTTTGATAACCAGGTCGTTGAGCCACATCTTGGCT